AAAAGAAAAAAGCCATCTCTCCAACTTAACATGGCATTATAATTTTGGTATATTCTTGTTCACTTTTTTAAACAGTGAACAAACATTGTATTTTTCATTAAACATTACGGTATATGCATTTTTCAAGACTGTTACTTGGCTTTCATAGCTGTTATTTTTAGTGATTACACAATATGCCATCAAATAGATTATACTCTTTACTAAACCATTCCTCCATTGCTGACATTTAGATTACTGCCACCTTTTCATTGTCAGGAAACTGGTGAACATCTTTGGGCCTATCACTTCATGATAAATCATCAGATATGGCATTTGGGGGCCAAAATGCCTCTTAGGTTCTTATAGCTCTTGGCACATACTGCCAAATTCCTTCCCAAAAGGATTTTATTAATATACAGTGTCACCAGCTATGTAAAAATAACTCAACATACACACACCTTAATTAATGTCATAAATATGATCTAGACATAATTTCCCTGACACACAGAAAATTGCCAATTTATTTACAGCATTCTTTCTTTTATATATGCATGTTCATTTTCCCTAAAATACATAATAATAGAATTTTACATATTTTTTCAGAGGCACTATGATCTCTTTTCCATAGCCTTTTTCCTGACAGTTTTTTATTTTAGGGTTTCCACAATTACAATAACCGCTGAGGCATTAATTTTCAATACTGAGATAACATCGTGATTTTAGGTTTCACTTTAGGTTAGAATGTATTACAATGGTTGCACAGAGTTTATATAAAAGACAATAATTTTTCAGATCTGTACTTATTAACTTAAACATATTTCATTAATTAGAAAGAATTTGTCCTTCTGATGGTAAAAATCTCAACTAAATCAACTGTGCTATCTTTGCCAATTACTTAGTTTAACTTGGAAGAACTTAAAGATAAATAGAGATAAATAAAATTCCATACTAACTCCTTTTGTTCCAGAGGTCCAACCAATCTCTCTATTTCCCTCTATCCCTATCTTGTTTGTTGAAATTACTAGCATGATTTATGAATTTGTTAAAAGAAACAATTACCCCCAGACAATCACTATTAGGAAACATAGTTTCCAAAGACCCTATATTAAAAAGCTTACTTAGCAATTTTAGAAAAATAGTGTAAGTAGATATTTCTTATATACATAATTTCCCTCATTCCCACTTAAAAATATTTTAATTACATAGATATCTAATAAACGGTATGACCAAGACTGAAATCCAGGTTCAACTCTTGGCCAGGAATTTTTTCATTTTACTATAATGAAAGAGATACTATGCATCTGAACCTCTCTGCCTGACTATATATATGCATTTTTCTCCATTGAATATTGAGACTTTTAAATTGTACTGAAATATGATTATCCTGCTGTATTTAATAAGGCCACTTCTATTTAGCTGTCTTTCTCTGAATGAAGTGATCATCCTACACACCTTAGCAGAAGTGAATTTCAATCAGGAAACTGGAACCAAGCAGGCTAGCTCTAGGTAAGTAGACAGGTCTTTTCTAGACCTGTAGGAGGAGATTCCGAGTGGTGATTTTTTGTTTGATATGGGTTTTGCTATGTCAGTTGCCCAGGCTGATCTTGAACTCCTGGACTTAAGGGATCCTCCTTCCTCAGGTTCCTGAGTAGCTGGGACTATCAGAGCACATAACCACAGTTGGCTAATTTTTTATTTTTTTGCAAAGACAGGGTCTTACTATGTTGCTCAGGCTGGTCTCGAACTACTGGCCTCAAGTGATCCTTGTGCTTTGGCCTTCCAAAGTGCTAGGATTACAGACTTGAGCCACCATTCCCAGCCCATAATTTCTTCTTAAACCTAAGAGTTATTAACAGGAATTTTTAATTTATATTTTTGCTCTTGACTTCTAACTTAATTGGATTTCTATTTTTTGAAGTTTGTTGACTCTTTCTTTATGGTCTAGTGTGTAATCATTTTAACTACACGTATATTGGAGAAAAATATGTATTCTCTTATTTGGTCAAGTTTGTTAATAGTTTTATTCAGATTTTCTATATGTTCTTGCTAACTTTTTGTCTGTTTAGCCTATCAATAATAAGAAAGATGTGTTGAATGTCTCATAATAATGGTGAACTTATCTTTTTATTTGTAGTTCTATAAATTTTTACCTCATCTATGGGGAGCTATTTTATTAGATGCATACACGTTTCAAGTTGCTCTAGCTTGGTGAATTGAACGTCTTATTGTACTGTGATCTTTTTCATCCCTAACAATGTACCGGTTTTCTTTTTTTTTTTCCAGACAGAGTCTTACTGTGTTGCCCGGGCTAGAGTCCGTCCCGTGTCATTAGCCTAGCTCACAGCAACCTCAAACTCCTGAGCTCAAGCAATCCTTCTGCCTCAGCCTCCCGAGTAGCTGGGACTACAGGCATGCACCACCATGCCCGGCTAATTTTTTCTATATATTTTTAGCTGTCCAATTAATTTCTTTCTATTTTTAGTAGAGACGGGGTCTTGCTCTTGCTCAGGCTGGTCTCGAACTCTTGAGCTCAAACAATCCACCTGCCTCGGCCTCCCAGAGTGCTAAGATTACAGGTGTGAAAGAGCTGCCAACGGCCAAAGCTGGAACAATTTGTGTAACAAAATAAAGTAGTATGGGAATATAACCCAAAGTATAAAATAAATATTCAAGACTCCATACTGATATAAACAAATGATTGAATAAATAAATAATGGATGAGAAGAAACAAATCTCCTGTACAGAAGAATTCCGAATAGTTTATATAGATACGACATCCTCAAGGAGATGAAGCATAACCTGCCAGCCCTTACATGTGGGCTTTGCATAGTGACTTCCTTCCAAAGAGTACAGTATGGAAAGGAGGAAAAATAGTAACTTTACAATGCGGAAATCTGACAAACACTACCTTAGCCAGGTGATCAAGACTAATGTTAACAGTGATAAATCATGTTGATGGCATGTACTCAATGTGATATAATGAAAATGGCACTTTACCTCTGTGGTCATTCTCCCCCAAACCTATAATCCCAGTCTAATCATGAGAAAAACATCAGACAAATTCCAATTGAGGGACTTTCTACAAAAGTCCCCCAGTTGACCTTAGCAACCAGGTGTGGTGGCTCATGCCTGTAATCCTAGCACTTAGGGAGGCCCAGACCAGGCAGGGGCCAGGAGGATTGCTTGAGGCCAGGAGTTCAAAATACTTGAACAATACTCCTTAAAACTTAAAGGTCACTAAAAACAAGGAAAGTCTGAGAAATAGTCACAGTCCAAGGAGCATACATAACAACTAAATTTAATATCCTAGTTGGGATCCTGGAACAGAAAAGGATCAATGGGTAAAAAGTAAGGAAATTTGAATAAAATATTGACTTTAGTTAATAATAGTATATCAGTACCATTTCATTAATTGTAACAAATGTACCATACTAATGTAAACAGGAAGAAACGTGGGGCAAACACGAATTCTCAACTCTGTAATTTTTCTGTGAATCTAAAATGATCTAAAATTAAAAGTTTATTTAAAAAAAGATCACCTACAGAGTGGGAGGTTATATTCAAATATACATATCTGACAAAGGTCTTGTACCCAGAATAAATAGAATTCCTACAAATGAATAATAAAGACAACCAAATTTAAAACAATAATTCCCAACTTTAAAAACATAGGCAAAAGACTCGAATAGACATTTCATAAAACGAGATATAAAAATAGCCAACAAGCACATCAGAAGATGATCATCATTAGTCACTGGAAAACTGCAAAACTAAAATGATGCCATTTCACACCCATGAGCAGGGTTAAAATTAGAGACTGATAATCCCCTATGTTGGAAAGCATGTGAAACTAGCACCTTCATACATCGCAGGTGGTAGTGTAAAATAGTACAACCACTTTGGAAAACTGCTAGGCAATTTCTTATAAATATACACAGAAATTCCACACCTATATTTCCCCAAGATAAATAAAATATGCCCACGAAAAGACTTGTACAAGAATGTTTATAGCAACTTTGCTTATAATAGCCAAAAACTGAAAACAATCCAAATGTCCATCAACAGTTGAATGCATAAAGTATTTCCTTGAAGGGAATACTTCTCAACAATAAAAACTACTAACTGCTGGTTCACGAAGATCCCAGAGTACCTACTACTCTCAGAAGGGGCTGCCTAAGTGGTGGGAGATTGACCAGAATAGGGCCGGCGGGAGGGAGTGAACTCTCTTCTGGGTGATGGAAATGTTCTACATCCTGATTGGGTAGTGGTTACACAGCTGTTTACATATATCAAAACTCATCAAATTGTCCCCTTAAAAAAAAAGACTATGAACACGTTACCTCAACAAAAAAAGGACTAGAGAAGAAAGAAAAAAGACTGGTGACGTTGAAGGTAACACTAAACTTAAGGAGATATTTGGTATAGCAGGCCCTTTCTTTAAAACGTTTAGGAAAGAAAACATTCCAATAAGGTCTGCAGGATTTCTGTGACTCAAAAAGGACATTAAGAAACCCTCCAAACTCTGAATCCCGTCCACGGCTTCAAGGAGGCCGCTGAGCCTGTGGCTCCCCCACCTGAGTCCCTTTGCTTTTCCTCTGGAACCCCAGAGGCCCAGGGAGCTGAGGACGCAACTACCACAGCCCAGCAGCCAAGTGCCCAGCGCGGCTTCTCCTCGCCGCCCAGGACTCCGGGGGCAAATGCCCGCCGCTTGCCAAGTCTCGCCCAGCCACAGCGCCCGCCCCTACCATCCCGCGTCGCGGTACGGCCCGTTTTTCCCCTCACATCCATTCTTTGAACCGTCCCGTCACCTTTCAATCAATTCAAATGTCGCGCTGAGCGAACCAATCGTAAGCCTCGGCGAAGGGAAGGGGCGGGCGCTTCTTCCGGAAGTGTTCGTTAAAGCCTCTCCAGTCAGACGCTCGGTGCGGGAAGTTTGAATTTTGTGAAGGTTCGCGTTGGAGGCGTTTCTGCGTCAGAGCCGACGGTAGTCGTCCAGGCCTAGGATTCTTTTATTTTTTGTCTGTTTGAGGTTTCACGCTAGAAGCTTCCTCAGGTAGGTGGATGTTGGGGAACTGGAGGGAGGACGCTGGCCCGCTTTCGTTGTAGGTCTAGAAAGGTCTGAGGACCGGCGGCTGCGAGCCGGACGCCAGTCGGGGGAAGGCTCCTCCAGGACCTTCCGGAGCTGATAACACAGTCCTCCAGAACAGTAAATATTCGTTGCCATGATCTTTGTAGCAGTCAGCGTTTCACCACCGGGGCGTAATTGGCCTTTGGGGGTCAAACAATTCTTCACGATGAGGGACGTTTAGCATCCCTGGCCCCGACATTGAATTCCAGTAGCTCCTCCCAGATCCTGTGACAACTGAAATTGTCCGGTTGAGAACCTCTAGGCAAGCAAGACTAACGCATTCTAGACTTTAAAGGTGGAAGAAACTCCAGTCAACCAAAGAAAACTCAGATGTGTGTGAAGAGCCAGGCTGCCTGGCTTGGAATCCCAAATCCACTACCTTTTAGCTGTGCTAATGTGGGCAGTTAATTCACCTCATCTGCAGAAGGACGATAATAGTAACTACCTTTTAGGGTTATTCTGATAATTAAATATGTCTTTAATGTTCATTCTCTCTCTTTCTCTTGCTCTCTGTATAGTGCTATTCTGTATTTTAAAATAACTAGTACATAAGTCTTAGTTTTTCTTTAATATTTAGCAAACTAATACTTGCAGGAGGTGACAAATCAAATAGTGGAGGAGATTTCTTGATGAAAAGCACATTGTTACTTCCAGAGAATGTTATTAGCGTAAAGGAGAATGTTATTAGCATGCAGGTCAGACAGATTCTGATTTTTTATACTTTATTGAATGCTTAAAATCATGTAACATTTTAATTCTGTTTCTTGTGCCAATTTTTCTTTTACCTGGAGTTTTCTTACTCTTGTTGAAGAATATGCTACAATGCATCTATGACCTTTTAAACCTAATCACAGCCCTCTTTCTCTAGTTTGGCCTGGTAGTTCTCCATACCAGCTGCATACGTGACCCCCTCAAACTTTCCACTGTCCTTTATTCTAGTTGGGTCCACTGTTTGTTAGAGGACCTCATGACATCATCTTTGCTGTCTTCACTTGTTTTGCTTGAATATATTCTCAAAGAAAAGGGTGTGTGCCAAGTATACTATATGATTTCTTGCATAAATGAAAATAATGGGGCAAATTGATATGGTTATTGTGATACTGTGAAATACATATTTGGTCTTCCTCCAGTTTCCTGGCATACAACTCCTAACATCCTTGGAGTCTCCCAAGTGATGTCTTTTTGTATGCTAATATGAATGATGACTGGACACCCCTAGGTGGCTTCAGGATGGGAGCTGGTCACCAGACCCACCTTGACAGTGATTAGAAAGTTGGGACATTCACCACCCCCAACCTTTGGGGAGGGGAGAGGGAATGAAGGTTGAGCTGATCTTGCTGATCCCCAATGGCTATTGATTTATTAATCAATCATGCTTATGTAATGAAGCTTCTGTAAAAACCCACAAAGACTAGGTTCAGAGAGCTTCTGGATAGCTGAACACACGGAGGTTCCTGGAGGATGGGTGTGCTCCTAGAGAGGGCATGGAAGTTTGTCACCCTTCCCACATACATTGCCATTTGCATCTCTATCCAGATCTATCTCTATCCAAGTGCATATTTATTATCCCTACATGCCTAATAGGCATCTCATGTGGGGGTTTTTTTGGTTTGTTTTTGTTTTTTGGCTTGAGAAGAATGCTAGACTACCTGCATTCATCGTCAGGGGAAGGTTAAGGAAACTATTAATATAGTTCTTCACTTATTTTCCCTATTTTCACCTTTACTTCACATTTTGTTTTGTGATGTTCTCTACGGTAAGCCCAGAGCCTCTTGTCTGTGTTCTGAACTGTAACTTCCTGGCTTCTCCATCTGTTAATAAAATTCCTATTTAGAACTCCAAAATAGGTTGTAGTGTCTTGTCCTCTGATAATCTTGTTCCCACTCATCAGTGTCATATATTTATTCCATTATGCATTTTAATACTTTTATGTCAGAAGGCTCTGAGGTGGGACAGGAGATGAACTGTACTCTTAATTTTTTAAACAGTGAAAATCCACGTAAGTTAGTTTCTACCTCTCTTTTCCTTGACAGGATGTCTTCATCACATTTTATCAGTCGACACAGAAAGGATTTAAGTACTGAAATGATTAGAACTAAAATTGCTCATAGGAAATCACTGTCTCAGAAAGAAAACAGACACAAGGAATATGAACGGAATAGACATTTTGGTTTGAAAGATGTCAACATTCCAACCCCAGAAGGTAGAATTCTTGTTGAATTAGATGAGACATCTCAAGAGCTTGTTTCAGAAAAGGCCAGTGTCAAGCCAAGTAAGTAAAGGTCTATTGTAATTTCAAGTACTTTGAAGAGTGAATAAAAGTTGGGGTTTTTTGCTTATTTGTTTTTTGTTTTTTAAGAGGCAGAGTCTTGCTCTGATGCACGGCTACAGTGCAGTCGTGTCGTCATAGCTCACTGTAAACTCAAACTCCTGGGCTCAAGCAGTCCTCCCACTTCTGCCTCCCAGAGTGCTAGGATTACAGGTGTGAGCCACTGCACCCAGCCTAAAAGTTGGTTTAATGCTTGTGAGTTAAAAAAAGCCCTGATCAGAAGAGTAAGATTTTGAAATGCCATTTTAAATAACTTCTTTTCTATAACTAAATACTATTTCTTTAAAGTAAAGTCTTGTGAAGGTCCTAACTAGGCTAAAGCCATTCACCTGTAGAGTATTATAGCACTTTCTTGTCTATATTGCCTTATGGGAATCCTAAAGTTCTTACTTCTGGAGCTTGGGTAAGAGAAGTGTAAACAAGAAAATTGAAAAGAAACATAAAAATAGAATGATTAAAGAATCCATGAAATAAGAATACATTATCAATGAAAATGTTATGTAGCAAAAGGAGCAAAGAATTCATCCTTGCAGTTTGGCCAAAAGAATTTGGGGCTGTTAGGGAGGAAAGAACCAACTGTAGAAAGGAATAATCTCAGAAAAAGATAAAAAGTCTTAGATAGAGTGTCTTAGAAGGAAAGGATGCTACAGAGAAGGAGAAAGAGAACTGAAAATGACTTTTGCTTTTAACCAGCAGTCACTGGACTCCTATTTAGTTGTGTTTATATAGCAGGCATTGGGAGCTAGATGGCAATGAAATAAAGCAAGGATAAATGGTGAATGGCAGAAAGAACCAAACATTTTTTATCTGAGAAGGGGTGATGTTATTGCCTCCTAAGTCATTTCCTTGCCTCTGCTGTTGTCCTCTCAAATGTTCCATTCCTTGACCAAAATCTCTCAAATGAAAGTCGAACCATGTCAATATGGTATTAAAATATCTTTGTTTATTTCTCATTTGCAAAAGCTTAGAGGTCTGAGTGGGCCTGTTATGTTCCAGAGAAAGCAAAGAGGTGACCATGGATAGAGAAGAATGAACAAGGGGGCCAGATCCTGTAGAGCCCTGAGGACCATAGTTATAAGGACATTGGCTTTTACTCTGAGTGAAATTAGATACCATTCATGGATTAATAGGTGTTTATATAATCTGATTTATGTTTTAAAAGGATCACTTTGGAGCCAACACAGCATGCCTGTAATCCCAGCTACATGTTATGCCGACGCAGGAAGATTTTGAGTCCAGGAGTTTGAGGCTACAGTGTGCTATGATCATGCCTGTGAATGACCATTGCGCTCCAGCCTGGGCAACGTAGCAAGAGATATCCACTGCCCCCCACCCAAAGCCCCCCCCCCAAAATTTACATTGGCTGCTGTGTTGAGAATAGATTGTAGGGTGGCAAGCATGTCTTCATGGAGACCAGGAAAGAAACTATTGCAATAATTTAGTTGATGGCTGATAAGGGTGGTAGCAGCAAAGATAAGTGGTTACATTCTGGACATATTTCGAAAGTTGAACCACAGGATTGCCTGATAGATTGGATGTGGGATTGAGAAAGAAAGGGGACTCAGGATGATACTAAGGTTTTTATTCTGAACAACTAAAAATATGGAGTGGTCATTTACTAAATTATGAAAGAGTAAGGGAGGAAAAGTTTTGGGGTGTGGTAAGATTAAGTGTTCAGTTTTGGACATATTAAATTTGTGATGCCTATTAGATATGTAAGGGGAGATGATGAAAAGGTAGTTGGATATGCAAGATGAGTTGGGGGAAAGTCTGAGCTGGAGATATAAATTCAGGAGTTGTCAACTTGTACGTGGTGTTTGAAGCTATAAGACTGGATGTCATTATACAGAGTTTTTTTGTTTTTCTTTTTTCTTTTTTTTTTTTTGAGACACAGTCTCACTCTGTTACCTAGGCTAGAGTGCCAGGGCGTCAGCCTAGCTCACAGCAACCTCAAACTCCTGGGCTCAAGCGATCCTCCTGCCTCAGCCTTCCGAGCAGCTGGGACTGCAGGCACTGCCACCACACCCGGCTAATTTTTTTCTATTTTTGGTAGAGATGGGGTCTCAGTCTCGCTCAGGCTGGTCTCGAACTCCTGACCTCAAGTCATCCTCTCCCACCTTGGCCTCCCAAAGTGCTAGGATTACAGGTGTGAGCCGCTTCACCTGGCCTGATTATCCAGAGTTGTGGTGTGGAAAAGGAGAGAAGGGGGGTGGTGAGCACGCCAACTTTTAGAGGGCAAGGATGTGAGGGGAAACTAGCAAAGAACTGAGGAGCAGTGCAAAGTAAAGTAGAGGACAGCCAGAAAAATGTGATATCTTAGAAACCAAGTGAAAAAATGCATATCAAGGAGGAGAGAATAAATGAACTGACAGTCAGTACTGCTTGTCAGGTGAAGTAATTTTAGAAGTGAAAATTTGAACTCTTGACTTCAAGTGATCCTCCCGCCTTGGCCTTTCAAAGTGCTGGGATTACAGGCATGAGCCACCATGGTCAGCAGAAGTGAGATTTGAACTTCATCTCTGTGGTGGTGGTCACTAGTGATCTTGATGAGGGGTTTTGGTAGAGTGAGGTTCGGGAAGTAAAGGCCAGATCAGAATGGGTTGGAGAGGAATAGCAGCACTACCTAGGACAACATGCTCTTGCACTGAAAGTTGAACGCGAGTCTAATCAAGCCCTTGGATATAATTTCCAGTTTATGGAAAACAGAGCTAGAGAAATGAGTAAATTTCCAAGTACAGAGTGCAGGACATTGAATAGGACAATTGACTAAAGACAATGGCATGAAAAGGAGGGGAGGAGGATCTGTATTAGATAAAGAGATTTAAAAGACATCCATATAAAATGTGTAGATAGATCTTGCCTGATTTCTTATTTGAATAAATCACTGGTTTAAAAAAACATCTCTTTGAAACTAGGAAGCTTAAATCTGGACCCTATAACAGATGATAACAAGGAATTACCGCTAATTTTGTTAGGTGTGATAATGCTATTGTGGTTACGAAGGGAAATGTCTTTATTTTTTAGAGTTGCATACTAAACTATTTAGAGATGAAATCTTGTGAGTAGAATTTGTTATTTAAAAACCCAAATGCAGCAAAATGTGTATAATTGTTGAGTCTGGGTGATAGGAATGTGGGATTGATTATATTAAGCTTTTGTGTATATCTGAAATTTTTCATAATTTTAAAAGGGGGGAATGTAAAGAGTGTTAAAAATAGAGATATATAGATAACTTTCTTGAAGAATTTTACCTTAAACAAGACTAGAGAAATGAGACAAGTAGCTAGATGAGGATGTGGGTTGGGAGAAATTACTGCATGTTTGTAACTTTGTGATGGCAGTAATCCAGTAGAGAGGAAAAATACAGATGAATGAGAGGGTAAATTGTTGGAAGAATGTCCTTGAGTAGGTGAGAAGGAGTGGAGTACGTCTTATTATACTATATATTATTAAAAATATAACATTATAAATAGCACTTATAATTGTATTAGTTACCCCAAAACTTAGCCAGTGTAAATAGTAAACATTATTTCACGCAATTTGTGTGGGTCATGAATTTGGGTGCAGTTTAGCTGGGTGGTTCTGAAGGTAGCAGTCAAGATATCATCCAGAGATACATATGAAGGCTCAGTTGAGGGTGGAAGATCTGCCTCCAAGATGACTGACTCATAGCAAATTGATGCTGGCTTTTGGCAGGAGGCCGTAGTTCTTTATCATGTAAACATCTTCATGGGGCTGCTTGAGTCTCCTTATGGTTCCACATGGCCACTCCCTTCCCCTAGAACAAGTGATCTGAGAGAGAGCAAGGCAAAAGGTACCTAGTCTTAGAAGTCATACTCTATCCTTTCATAAAGCTCTCTTAAGTACACAGGTCAGCCTTATTCAGTGCGAGAGATGATGCAAGGGCAATATTACCGGGGGTGAGAATCTGTGGAGGTCAGGTTGGAGGCTGGCTATTATACAAGTTAATTAACTTAAAAGGAAAACAATACATGCCTAGTATATAGCAAGTAGCTAATAAATATTTGAGCATGTGAAGGCAAAAGAATACAAATTTTAAAAGACTAGGTGTTGAAATAACTTGTTAGAGTGCTAGGGAATTACAAGAAGTATTAAAAGCATTTCTTTTTTGGCGGGGTGGGCTGTTTCTCGCTATGTTGCCCAGGCTGGACTCCAACTCCAGGTCTCAAGTGATCCTCCTGCCTCAACCTCCCAAGCAGCTGGGACTACAGGCTCACCATTGCACCTGGTTCATTAAAAGCAGCAGTTGAAAATAGACAAAAATGATTTTTTAGTTGCTTGCATAACTTTTTATCTGAAATGTTTTATATACTGTGTTGTTTGGGGATTTTTTCTGCCTAGGGTCAATGAGAACTGTTCTAGCTGACCAACGAAAACAGATGCTCCAAAAATACAAAGAAGAAAAGCAACTACAAAAATTGAAAGAGCAGAGAGAGAAAGCTAAACGAGGAGTATTTAAAGTAGGTCTTTATAGACCTAATATGCCTTATTTTCTTTCATCAAACCAGAATGCTATGAAAGCTGAGCCAAAAAAGGTAAATTTAGTATCTTAACTTGATATAAAGGAATGATTCCTTTTATCTGAAATTTTCTTTAAGAGATTAAATGGCTAAAACAGCCCCTTCCCTTTAGTCCCTTTATTCACTTAACTAGTTGGTAGGAGGTGGGAATGATATAATAGTAGCTTCAAAGAATGAAAATGAGGTCTCTTAAGATAGCTATAGATAAGTTGAGATATGATAAAACCAGGAAAGTGGGTAGAACCAGGCTGAACGATGCTCTGCCAAAGAATTTGGCATTTATCCCATAGGTTATGAAGAGTCAGGGGAAGTTTATAAATGAGGGTAGGACCATTATCAAATTAATAATTCAGGAAAATTCTCATAGCCTTAAAGATTATTGTCTGGAAAGGGAAGTACTTATAGATTGGGAGACCAATTGTGAAACTACTATAATAGAATACGTAAGCTGGGATAAGTTTATTGGGGCAGTGGGCTCAATAAGGAAGAAATAGATATAAGACATCTTAAGAGATGCATTTGACAGGACTGGTGACCAAGTAGTTAGTGAGGGGTAAAAGAAACTGAAAAGTTAGAGATAAGATGATTCTGAAGCTATTAGTTTGATCAACCACACAAATTATGCTGCTGCTAAAAGAAATGAAGAAGGCAAGAAAAGGAATAGGTTTAAGTGGTTGCATGAACGTTTTTTGTTTTTTTTAAACTTGTTTGGGCCATCCAGATATCAGGCAATTGGGAATAAAAATTTGGATGGAAATCGATGTTAAGATGTAGATTTAGGATATAGTATTGGGAGTACAGTGGGCTTTTAAGCTATAGGACTAAATGAGACCACTCCAATAAGAATATGTAAAATTATGAAAAAGAGTGGGGTCTAGAGAGCATCTTTAGATGGGCAGAAGTCAGGTACCAGGCTGAGAAGGACTGGTCAGAGTGGCAGGAGAACTAAAACAGAAGATAGAAGTTAATGGTAGAGTAATCTAAAGAAGAGCACGGTACAATGAATTAGACAGGATGAAGTTTGAACACAGACAGCTAAATTATAAATTAGGTAATTATCGGTGATTTGCTAATTGAAAGATATATATAAAAGATCTCATTTTGAAGAATATGTTTAAAAGATCTCACTGACTGCATATACATTCCTGATTTAAGTAAGAATTGAATAATATAAAGACTCAAGATATTGCTTATTTTTCTGAGCCTTGTGAATCTCATTGATTCATTTGACAGCTCTTTAGTTATTTACTCTATGTATGACCTTAGGATAATATGGAAGAGACCAAAACTAACAGAATACAACTCAAGGTGAGAAGATATAGATAAATATATTCTATATATATTAGAGGAAAGAGAGATTGTTTCTGTTTGGAGGAACAACAAAGAGAAACTCTTGGAAAGGGTTAGATATAAGCTGGCTTTTCAAGAACATGTAGGATGCTAATCATTGTAATAAACTGTAAACAACTATTTAAAAAATGTATGTGGGGGAAGAAAAGGTATGTCAATGTGTTAAATAACAATATTCACCATAATTTTTCTTTTTTTTTGAGATAGAGTCTCATTCTTTTGCCCTGAGTACAGTGCCGTGGCGTCAGCCTAGCTCACAGCAACCTCAAACTCCTGGGCTCAAGGGATCCTCCTGCCTCAGCCTCCCAAGTAGCAGTACTATAGGCACATGCCATGATGCCCGGCTAATATTTCTATTTTTAGTAGAGACAGGATCTCACTCTTGCTCAGGCTGGTCTCGAGCTCCTCACCTCAAGTTATCCTCTGGCCTCGGCCTCCCAGAGTGCTAGGATTATAGCCGTGAGCCACCGTGCCTGGCCCATAATTGTTTTTTTTTTTTTCTATTTAGACAATAGTCATTGCTGAATTTTGCTTTTTTTACACACTCTAGGGTGTAAAAAATTAGAAAGCCTAGTTTCTTTAGTGCTAGGTTTTCACGGTGATTTGGAGGAGAAAATGGCTTCTAATCTAGAGAAGTCTGTGATTATGCTTCTTGAGGAATTTTACAAAGTTAGTAAATCTTATCACTTTTAATCTTTCTCTTGCTAGATTTTTTCCATATTTTGTGATCAAGTTTCCATTTTCTTATTGAAAGTGCATAATCATGAAATTTGAAAGCAAATTGTTAAATAGGAAAATAAGCTATAAGATATCTTCTTATAAACAGAAAACAAAAGATCTTAATACTTGAGTCTGCTTATCTACCCCATTCCCAAATATGTCTAGATAACCATATTAATGAGAATTCCAATACCTGGAAAATATAATTTGAAATTTCTTCTTTCTTCTCCTCACTGAGAAATATGAGTAAATTTTGAAGCTCTTAAACTTAATTTAAATCAAGTCAGAACCAGAAGAAATAGGAATTTAAGTTAACCAAGTATCTCTTTGCCATAAATGATTAAGGATAAAATTTAACTTTAAAATGAGAACTTTATTTCGTAATAAAACGTGGAAGTAAACTTTTGCCAATTCATTTTGTTTTTTTGTTTTTTTTTTTTTTTTTTTTTTTACTTCTTTTGACTGTTTTAAGGCTATTTCGTCTTCTGTACGGATTACAAGGTCAAAGGCCAAAGACCAGATGGAACAGACTAAGGTATAGTTGATAATAGGTAATTATTAATATTACTAAAATGAAAAATTATACTTTTTTCCCCAGAGGAAGTAAATTCATTTTTAATCTAATATCAGATTCAAACATAATGATTAATTTAGTTAACAGTTACCAAAATCATTGTCATTGGTTTGGTGACATAGATGCTGTGTAAATTTTCACTTAAAATATTGTTTGCCCAAACATCCCATATGAGATTCGTAGCAAACTTTATCTTTGTGTCACACTCTTTGTTGTTTACTGTGCTACTATCACTTCTCAGCCTTTTGGCTAAGATCAAGTGTTTATTGGACTCCTATTATGCATTCCAAGTAACCTGCATAAAATGCAGATGGGGTAGAAAGCACAAAGGGTGGGTGTTACAAACTTACTTAGGAGTCTTCAAAATACCATAATAGGTATTAGGAGGGTTTCCAAAAGAAAGTGAAGTAGGCAAGGAGGAAATAGTATGCCTTTTTACCAGGTGAGGAAGCTAAGTTTCATGATGCATATAGATTTTGTATTACTACCGTGATCCTGGGACTGTTCTAGGCTCTTGGATACAGTAGTGAATAAAACAAAATTCACTGTCTTCATGAAACTTACATGTAAGACAGGCAGTAAAAAATATATATAGTATGTCAGATGGTCATAAGTATTATGGGGGAGATAAAAAAAAAAAAAAGAAAGGAGATGGGGAGTATTATTTAATAGTTGTGGGATAGAATTTTGATTGGGGGCAGTCAAGGAGGGCCTCACTGAGAAAGTGGCATTTTGAGTGAAGTCTTTAAGGAAGTAGAGGAGTGAACCATGGGAAAGAGCTTTTTATCCAGGACAAGCATTTTCTAGGCAAAATTCAAGGGTTTTGAAGTGAAAGCTTGCCTGGTGTGTTTAAGGACCCTGAGAAGATTATAGTCAGGTTTTTTTGTTTATTTGTTTGTTTTAAAGAGATAAGGTCTTGCTCCATCATCCAGGCTGGAGTGCAGTGGCATGATTATAGCTCACTGCAGCCTCGAACTCCTGGGCTTTCAGCCATCCTCGTGTAGTAGCGGGGACTACAGGCGCATGTCACCATGTTCGGCTAATTTTTTTATTTTTTGTAGAGACAGGATCTCCTTCTTGTTCTGCCTGATCTCGAACTCCTAGCCTCAAGCAATCCTCAGCCTTCCAAAGTGCAGTCAGCTATAAGTAGCTTAGATTATGAACATTTCTAAATTCTATGATTCTAAAGGATGTAAGGAAATTTATGTAATGGAAACCTTTTTCTTCATTTCATTTTACTTGGAGAAGTAGATTTTGTGTTGAGTCATTTAAAATTGTCAGATTACAGATGAGGAGTCAATTTACAGATTAAAAAAAAGTGATGATTTGATTCATTATGCAATTATATAGCACCTAATCTCTTAAATAGATCAATAATGGGAGTGATGTTCAAGCAATACGACCTGGTCAAAGACAAACTTCTGAAAAGAAACTGTTGGACAAAGAGAAAAAAGGTAGGAATATTAGCAATTATTATAAACTCTGATGCTACCACAGCAAGAATTTAAAAATTACAAAGAACGTTTAATTTGATTATTTTTTTCCACAGTTGTACAGCCTGTAGTGCCCCCGTCCGTGAGAATGACTCGATCAGCTACTCAAGCAGCAAAGCAGATTGCTGGAACAGTCTCATCTACCACAGCAAGAAAGCCAGTCTCAAGAGCTACTGATGGTAAGAACTATTTCTTGATCAGAGACTGAACAAGAATGTTTTGGTCCTTGAGGTTTTTGTGTTCAATGTTTAAAATCATCATGTACTTCTTTGAGTAGGAGAGGAGGAAATGGAAGATTCCAATTCCTAAAGACAGGTTCTGTGCCCTGATATCCAATTAGCACACGGTGGGTGCCCAAACACTGAAGCACCTGAACATGGACGCAGTGCTTCAAAGTGAAAAATTAATGGCCCAAATAAGTCACTGTTGATTCATTTGGTGGAATAAAATGTAGCCATGAAGAATAATGTTATAAAAGAACACTTAATGACATCATTCATGATATATTAAGTGGCAAAGAAAAATAAGTCAAACTCTGAACAGTAGGACCACAATTTTAAAAATATTAATAGTATGTGAATATGGGGACATAGGAAAAAGCTACAAAAACATACCCTAAAGTGTTAACTGAGTAATGGAATCTTAGATGATTTGTTGTTGCCCCTCTCTGTGCTTTTCTGTATTTTCCTAATTGTCTGTAATAAACATGTACAGGTTGAGCATCCCTCATCTAAAAATTGAAAATCCAAAATGTTCCAAAATCTGGAGTGCCAACATGTTGCTCAAAGGTCATGCTCACTCATTGGAGCACTTTAGATTTTGGATTTCTGGATTAGAGATGCTGAACTGTTAAGTATAATACAAATATTCCAAAATCTAGAATCTGAAACACCTCTGTCCCAAGTGTTTTGGATAAGAAATACTCAACCTGTATTTGGTACTCAGATGAAAAGGGTAAAACACCTTTGTTTTGTTTGGTTTATACTTGTCAGGAAATTTCATTTGTTTTTAACCTACTTTATAATATGGCTTTTACTCACAAAAATCCTTCAAGACTTACATTCTTATTGCCTTCTTTTCCTTTCCCAAATGACCTAGTACTTTATTTTTTGAGACAGGGTCTCATTCTGTTGCCTGGGCTGGAGTGCAGTGGCACAATCATAGCTCACTGCAGCCTCAGCCTCAGATTCCTGGACTCAAGTGATCATCTTGCCTCAGCCTCCCCAGTAGCTGGGACTACAGGCCACCACACCCGGCTAATTTTTCTATTTGTATAGAGACAGAGTCTCGCTATGTTCCTCAGGCTGGTCTTGAACTCCTGGGCTCAAGCAATTCTCCCGCCGCAGCCTCCCAAAGTGCTAGGATTACAGGCATGAGCCACCATGCCCAGCCTTTTAAAATTGGTACTTTTAATGCAGTGTTCTATTTAGTCAAGAGTGCATATCTTATTTCATTTTTATTTAGACAATGAACCAGAAAGAAAGGCACCAAATAAAGGAAGACCTGCCAAAATGATAGCGACAAAACCTGACAAGGTAGAGTATAAACATCTGTTTATTTCTAGATGCTTTGAAAATCTCATTGCTCCTTCCATAAAGTTGAAATGAAGCACACAGAACTGCTTCAAGAGGTTAACCTACATGTCTATTTAAACCTTTTGAACCATAAGAAAGCATCAAGAGGATTTACTGTGGTGTTATTGCTGTTCTTCAGGTATCCTATTCTCCCAGCCTTATAAGTAGAGAAAGAATAATTTGGTTAACAGAAGATAGAGAAAAATAAAAACACAGCTGAGAGAAACCTTTATATGGGAATTAGCTAAGAGATAGGATTGAGTACGGTGAAATGCATTGACTTTGGAGTCGATTAAGCCTGGGTTTGAATATTGTTTCTGCTTCCAATTAGCTGCATAATCCTGGGCAAATTATGTAAGTTTGTTTTTCTATCTCTAACATGGAATACCTACATAGACTAGTTTTAAGAACTGAATAAGCTAACATTTCTGCCAGCATCTAGCATAGGTTGTTTTGTTTTTGTTTTTGTTTTTTTTTAGTAGAGATGGGGTCTCACTTTTGCTCGTGCTGGTCTCCAACCCCTGAGCTCAAGCAATCCTCCTGCCTTGGCCTTGCAGAGTGCTAGGATTACAGGCATGAGCCACTGCCCCCGGCCTAGCACAGTTTTTAATAAGGTCTTCAAAAAACAGGTACCATTTGAGGACCCAACCCCTTGGTTTATAATCCATGGTATAATTCCTTAACTTTAAGAAAAAAAAGTATGCCGAAGATTAAGTAACCTGGCTAGATTCTTAATAATAATCAAACACAGATCCTCCAAGGAAGACAACATAAGGTGAATCTTTACAGATAAAGCAGCTGGACCTCATAGCTACTCCCTTGAGATTTATTTTCATCTTAAGGATTATCACCAGTTTTTACTTTAACTGTTACGCTGGCCTCAGGGATGGTGTTACCACTCAAACTCTTGTACGGGTTGAAATACCCTGGTTTGAGTTCATATCTCATTAAAAATCAGACACTTAGAAACTCTAAAAATTATTAATATGTTTAAATACCAAGTGACAAACCAAGGTGAAGAAATCTGCTTTGTATTTTATGTGATTAATCTTTCTATGTCACACTGAAAAATATTGCTCTTGTGATAGGGTTATTTATAATCTAAGATTATTTAACAAAAGAATTTGGTTCTTAACAATAGTAGTCATTCAATAAAACATTAGATTTCTAATTCTCAAACCATTATAATTATCAGCATAATTTAAGTAAAAAGATATATATTTGTCGAATACACTTTTCCATGTTAATTTTCTTATATTTTAATTTGTTGTAATGCCTAAGAGGTGTTATTTAGTCTTTTAATAAGAATTGGTTCTCTGTTCCCAGATCACAGCAATGGTTTAATGTAGCTGGTCTTCTGATTCCATTTATACATTTAATTCATGTGTTATTGTCTCTCAAATTATGTACAGAGGACATATATTTCAATTGTCACATTATCAGGCCTGTAAAAATTGGTCGAATATATCCATAGGAGAGATAAATTCTTACTGTACTGTGTTTACTTACATCCTAGGGTATTTCTTGTAAAATTGATAGTGAAGAAAATACTTTGGATTCACAAACTGGTATGACAAATGGAATAGATCCAGATGAAGTCTCATCAAAAATGGAAAACTTACCTAAGGCAAATACTGCAAAAATGAAAGGGAAGAATTCCTTTGCACCTAAAGATTTTATGTTTCAGCCACTGGATGGTCTGAAGACCTATCAAGTAACACCTATGACTCCCAGAAGTGCCAATGCTTTCTTGACACCCAGTTACAACTGGACCCCTTTGAAAACAGAAGAGTAAGAATATAATCTTAATTAATAATAAGTCCCTTGCTAAAATGGGTTAACAAATGCCTTTCTTAGATTTGGCCTGTGCTTTTTAAAAGTTATTACTTAGTGAACTATGTTAATTAGAAATCATGAAAATTTATTCTTTTAAAAAAACTCTTGAGAAGGCTATAATAATAGATTTGACATTTTTGGTGTTTCCTATGCATTATTTTTACTGTACAATTTGTGGGTTTTTTCATTTAATAAGTGACTTAATTACGACACAGATTTTTCAAAAGAAGAAAATTGCTATAATATTGGAGCTCAGATATGGCTTTTTTCCTCCTCTTTTTTTTTTCTGGCTGAGTAGTACTTTAGAAAAACTACCTCTAAAGACAAAAATGATTAACTTGCAAAATGAGGAGGAAATCAGTTGGAATCTTTAAAAGAAAAGGCAAGGACGTTTTGTAAATACTGCCTGGCAGCAAATGTACTAGAAATGGCTCAGCAGCATCCAGGACTATTAAGTGCTTATGTACCATTAAGAGACCTTCAAAATCTTTGAATCTCATTATAATTAATTAGTAAGATGGATGTTCACACTATAGGTGTTTAAAATTCCCCCCCTGCTAAATAAATATATTTTTAAAAATTAGAGATGTTTCTATTATATCCCTGATTAATAAAAAGAAGCACAATGTTGAAACTCCTCAATTAGATATCTGGAGTTCATGTTTCATGAAGTATATTTTTGCTATTGTTTTTAGTGATAAGAGTCAAGAAGCCACAAAAGAAATTTTGGCACTAAAATGTAAAATTTACGTTACTGAGACAGTACAGCAAGATTCAAGTAAATCACAAAGTCCTTTGAGTTCTCTAACAGTTTGGAATGAAGGTAGAGTATTTCAATTAAATTTTTACTTACTTTTCTGGATTATTACTTCTCAGATTTGTTTAGATCTCTTTTTCACCATATAGTTCAGGGGTGTGACTCAGGGTTAGAAAAGATGGGAAAGCATGGGTAAAGATAGAGTTGGAATGAAGAATACAGATTAAGAAGAGAGGGGCAATAAATGTAAATTGGAAGAAATTAAAAATATTGAGAGCCACTTTAGAAATATGAGTGAAATAATTGAGGCAGAAATAAAATTTTAAAATTCAACATTGTAAAAATTGAAGGATTTAAAAAAAATGTGTTTTTGTGAGGGATGTCATTTTAGGAACTGCTGCTTTGAAATTTATATGTAATATTTTCTTTATAGAACATGTCTTAAATCATAGTGAAGTTACTGCTAAAAATTCAAATGACCTTCCAATAAAAGAGGTCTCATCACTTGAAATAAATGAAGGACAGCTATCTCAGCCACAACATGATGTGCCATATTTCAGGTTTGTCTGTTTGTTTTTAGTGTAAGAATTTTTTATCGGTGTCTAGACATTTAAAACTAAAATTCAAAATGAGGGGTCTTCCTCTATCCCCCAGGCTGGAATGCAGTTGCATGATCATAGCCCACTGCAGCCTGGAACTCCTGGCACTCAAGTGATCCTCCCAGCTTAGCCTCCCAAGTACCTAGGACTACAGGCACGTGCCACCATGCCCTGCTAATTTTTAAAATATTTTATAGAGACAGGATCTGGCTCTGTTGCACAGCCCGGTCTTGAACTCCATGGCTCAAATGATCCTCCCACCTCAGCTTCCCATAGTGCTGGGATTGCAGGTGTGAGCTGCCACACCCAGCCTAAATCAAAATATTTTTAGCCTTAATATAGCAGGTGAGTTAGGGAGAAACTGCCGTTAGGTGATTTTCACCGCTTTTTTTTTTTTTTAGAGACAGGATCTTACTCTGTTGCCTTGGCTAGAGTACAGTGGTATCATCATAGCTCATTGGAACCTCCAGCTCCTGGGCTCAAGTAATCCTCCTCCTAAGTAACTTGGACTATAGGCGCACACCACCATGCCTGGCTAATTTTTCTATTTTTAGTGGCGACAGCGTCTTGCTCTTGCTCAGGCTGGTCTCAAACTCCTGGCCTCAAGCTCATTTCATCCACTAAAACTGAAACTCTACACCCACTAAACCATAATTTCCCATTCCTTCCCCAGCCCCTGGCAAACCCATTCTACTTTCTGCCTCTATGATTTTCAATATGCTATCTCATATAAGTAGAATCATACAGTATTTGTCTTTTTATGACTGGCTTATCTCACTTAGCATAATATCCTCAAGTTTCATCTGTGTTGTAGAACATGTCAGAATTTCTTTCTTTTTAAGGCTACATATACATACGTACACACACCACACACACACCCACACCCACACACACCCCACATTTTGCTTATCCATTCATCTGTCAATGGACTCTGGGCTTGTTTCATGTTTTAGCTATTGTTAATAGCTATGAACATGGGTGTGCAAATATCTCTTTTTGACCCTGCTCTCAGTTCTTTTGGATATATACCCAGAAGTTGAATTTCTGGATTATATGGTACTTCTGTTTTAAATTTCTTGAGGAGCTGCCATAATGTTTTCTATAGCAGCTGTACAATTTTACATTCTTACCAACAGTGTACAAGGATTCCAATTTCTTCACATGCTAGGATGCTTTTTATATACAAACAAACTTTCCTTGGGCCTGAATTTCCCAACCTTAGCCTCATTGACACTTAAGATTGTATACTTCTTGTTGTGGGGGTCCATCCTGTACATTGTAGGATGTTTTGTAGCGTCCCTAGCCAACAGCTCTACTCCAGTCGTGACAACCAAAAAAATATCTCCAGACATCACCAGATGTCCCCTGGGGAGCAAAATTGACCCTAGTTGAGAACCACTGCCTTTAGACAAGCAAACCCTAATAATTAGAATCTTTGAGGCTCTATCACTGTGATCAGATTTAACAGTCTTTAGCTTCAACTTACTCCTGACAGTTGGGTTGGCCTTAGTTTCATGGACAATAACAGAGAATCTAATGCACACTAAGGAATGTCTCTTAACAGCCTCTAAAAAATGAGAGCAGAACAAACCAGAAATGTGGGTTCTTAGTGTCATCTATTCACGTAAGTTTTAGATATCAAAGGATGGGTGTACACATGGTATCAGCTTGTATTTATGGATTTGAATGCATCACAGTTCATAAAATAATTAAACATCAACTCTGGAAAATTAATATTGTGCCTACCTTTTATAACTTCCAAATATTATGGGTCATAGTGTCATAATGCTAATACTTAGATTCTAGTATGAGAAATGCTTGTAAAACTGAAATGTATGTCATAATTTTAGAAATATTCTCCAGTCAGAAACTGCAAAATTAACTTCACATTGCCTTGAGTGGGACAAGAAGCTTGAATTGGACATTCCAGATGATGGTGAGGAAATGTATTTTTTGATGTTTAGCTTTGTTTCGTTTAATGTGGCTATGTTTATCTAAAACATAAAAATCTAGTGTTATCCAACTTTATAGTTTCATTATTATTCAAAATAGCAAGAATTTTTCATATCCCAACATATATTCCCTAATATCTCTGTGCCAAAATTATATATGACTTAAAAGATATAAGTAATTAGAATATTGACTGTTATTCCTTTAACTTAGACATCTATTATTAATTTTTTTATATGACTTTATGGGTGATGTAATATCTGATATTGCTTATACAAAAATCCTTTGTGAATGAAAATTACTTAAATTGATATGTAAAAGATTTTCTAAAAAGTTCCTTTATCTTATCTGGGGAAGCTGTTCAGAAAAAATTGTTTTTGTGCTGTCAGTGTGAAGTCTTTCTTAGATACTTACGTGAAAAGAGTTGTTTGAGGTTGAATACAAGGAGAAGTAGAATGCTGTTTGTGTGCAATAGATATGAGAGTGAATATTGCAAATTTAGATCAGGAATTGAAGCAAATAGTTAATACTCAGTATTTGTATGACAAAATTTTGTGGTAGATATTTTTTGTTTTGCTTGAAGAATTTGACTCCATAAAGATATTTGGGGTGAAGTCTTAACCAGTTGCCTGGCTTGCAATAAAGGTCCTGTTTTGTCCTTTAACTTTAAAAAAACCTCTTATTTCCTTTAGCTAAAGATCTTATTCGCACAGCAGTTGGTCAAACAAGACTCCTTATGAAGGAAAGGTTCAAACAATTTGAAGAACTAGTGAATGATTGTGAATATAAACGAGGTGAAAAGGAGACTACCTGTACAGATCTGGATGGATTTTGGGATATGATTAGTTTTCAGGTATGTGGTTAAGTATTCCAAATACATTTTCTTTTTCTTTCTGGAAACAGTGTAACAGTAGTAAAATGGGGTAATGGTAGCTGCTTAGGTACCTAGAATATTAAAGGAGATATTAGGAAGCCTTCTATTTATTTTTTTTCTTAAAGAGACAGTATCTTGCTCTGTTGCCCAGGCTGGAGTGCAGTGATGCAATCATAGCTCACTGCAGCCTCAAACTGCTGGGCTTAAGCAATCCTCCCACCTCAGTCTCCCTATTAGCTGGGACTACAGGTGCAGACCACCAGACTTGGCTACAAATCACTTTTGTAAACTGTAAACACTAACTAAATTTTATGATTGATGTTCTGTTCTCCCCCATGTTGTCAGGATAATTTCTATATGGGTTGGAAATTGAGATTATATTCAACTCTTGAACAGTGTATAGTAATTTTTCATGAGAGAAATGAGTCAATCTAATCTATAGTAGTTCAGTTCAACTAGCAGTTATTGAGTTCCTATTGTGTGCCAGGCTTTGTATTAGGAGTTGATAAAAAGGTATATTTCCTGTCCCAGAGGAGTTTGTAGTTTGATTAGTGACTGAGACACAACATTAAATTCTAATCTGACAATTAAAGGATGATAAAGGAAATCACTATGAGAGCGAAGATATGGGGGAAGTTGACATTTTTTAGCTTTTTTAGTTCATTTTAGAAATAAGCATATAAAATATCATTTCAGGCCAGGCGCGGTGGCTCACACCTGTAATCCTAGCACTCTGGGAGGCCGAGGCGGGTGGATCGCTCAAGGTCAGGAGTTCGAGACCAGCCTGAGCAAGAGCGAGACCCCGTCTCTACCAAAAATAGAAAGAAATTAACTGGACAGCTAAAAATATATAGAAAAAATTAGCCGGGCATGGTGGCGCGTGCCTGTAGTCCCAGCTACTCGGGAGGCTGAGGCAGGAGGATCGCTTGAGCCCAGGAGTTTGAGGTTGCTGTGAGCTAGGCTGACGCCCTGGCACTCTAGCCTGGGCAACAGAGTGAGACTCTGTCTCAAAAAAAAAAGAAAAAGAAATAAAATAAAATTTCAAGAATCACAGGCGACAGTAGACATTTAAAGAAAGCTTCAAAACTAAAAGAGGTCAAACCAAACATCTAGGAAGAAAACTGTTTTGATACAATAAATGAAAGTAATACAAGGAGAAAAGAACTTTTAAACACAAGTGTTACTATAATATCTGAAAGAGACCAGATGTTTCATTTGTCAAATGAGAATAGATATTAAAAAAGAACACTCAGAGAACCACAAAAATAGTTCTTTGAAGTATAAAAATATGAGAACAGAAATGTAAGATGCAATAGAAAACTAGAACATGAAATTAAGGAAATCTGGCCGGGCGCGGTGGCTCACGCCTATAATCCTAGCACTCTGGGAGGCCGAGGCGGGCGGATTGTTTGAGCTCAGGAGTTCGAGACCAGCCTGAGCAACAGCGAGACCCCGTCTCTACCAAAAATAGAAAGAAATTAATTGGACAGCTAAAAATATATAGAAAATATTAGCCAGGCATGGTGGCGCGTGCCGGTAGTCCCAGCTACCTGGGAGGCTGAGGCAGGAGGATCGCTTGAGCCCAGGAGTTTGAGGTTGCTGTGAGCTAGGCTGATGCCACAGCACTCTAGCCCGGGCAACAGAGTGACACTCTGTCTCAAAAAAAAAAAAATGAAATTAAGGAAATCTATCATTAAGTAGAACAAAGAGAGACGTGAAATAGGAGAGACTAGATAAGAAAATTAAGTGGGCCAATCCAGGAAGTATAATATCCAAATAGTAGAAATTTAAGAAAAAAAATAGCGGGAGCAAATGATTAATGAAAGAGTTTACAATTTTTTTCCAGAATTGTAGGATATGAATTCTAGATTGAGGGAGCCCATTGACTGCCTAGCACTATGAATAAGAGTAGATTCACACCGACCTATATCATTAAATGTATTAATAGATGTACAACTGTTGGGATAAAGAGAGAAGTCTAGAAGCATCCAGAAAGAGAAATTTCATCTAAGAGTCAGAGTAGCCTTGGATTTCTCAACAGCATTTTGAAGAGCTAGGAGAACAGTGCCCTGAAAATTCTGAGGGACAATACCTTCTAACCTAGAGTTCTATATCCAGTCAATCAAGTGTGAGGGCAGAGAGGCATGTTCAGGCACACAAGGTCTCAAAGTTTACCTCCTCCCATTAACCCTCTCTTAGGAAACTGAGATTGTTACTTCACACAAATGAGAGTGTAAGCCAAGAAAAGAAGAGAGAATGGGATCCATCCCCAGAAAGGACTAAGGGAATTGTGGCTGATGGCGAGTGAAGGAGTTGTCTAAGGTGGCTGCAGTGCAGCAAGCTTGGGAAGCAGTAGTTCAAATTGGAGCAGGAGGCCCAGGGCTCTGGGAAACAGAACTGAATAGAGTTTGTTTTTTAATTGTACTAAGAGGAGATTTACGCTTAACTTGTGCAGTTTGCAGGTGAACTGATGATAGATACATACAAAATTGAGCAAACAAAAAGCAAAACAATTATTAAGCCTAGAGAACAAGTTGTGAGGAAGGAAACCTCATAATCTCAGTAACTATATTGTCCAGATGTGAATAGTATTTATGTAGTCATAATAAAGTAAGCGTACCATAATGACCAGTTTTTGTGTATATTTACCAGTTTTCATAATAATGAGTTGGTTCACTAGCACCCTTCAATAGTGACCAATTAATTTTTTTAGTATCATTATTTTCTTTTGTTTTTAGAGACAGAGTCTCTTGTTGCCCAGGCTGGAGTGCAGTGGTGTGACCATAGCTCACTATAACCTTGAACTCCTGGGCCCAAGCTATCCTTCTACCTCAGCTTCCCAGGTAGCTGGGACTACAGGCACATGCCACCACACTGACTAATATTTTTCTATTTTTAGTAGAGAAGAGGTCTGAGGTCTTACTGTTGCTCAGGCTGGTCTTGAACTCCTGGCTTCAAGCAATCCTCCTGTCTTGGCCTTCCAGAGTGCTAGGATTACAGATATGAGCCACCACGCACAACCATGATTTCAATTTCTAAAATTTATTGAGACTTGTTTTGACATATGGTCTATCCTAGATAATGCTCCCTGTGATAAGAAGAATGTGTACTTTGTAGCTGTTGATGAAATGTTTTATACATGTTTGTCAGGTCTATTTGGTTTAATGTGCAGTTTAAATCCAATGTTCCTTTGTTAATTTTATGTCTAGATGATCTGTCTAATGCTGAGAGTGTGGTGATGAAGTCCCAAAATATTGCACTGGAGTCTATCTCTCCCTTTAGATCTAATATTTTTTATATATCTGGGTGCTCTGGTGTTAGGTGCATACATGTTTAGAATTGTTTTATCTTCTTGCTGAATGGATCCCTTTATCATTATATGATGACCATTTCTTGTCTGCTTTTACTGTTTTTGACTTAAAGTCTGTTTTATCTGATACAAGTATAGCTACTGCTGCTCATTTTTGGTTTCCTTTTGCATGGAATATCTTTTTCCATCTCTTTACGTTGTGTCTGTATTTGTCTTTATAGATGAGATGATGTTCTCTTCGGCAGCATGTAGCTGGGTCATGTTTTTTTTATCCATTTAGCCAGTCTATATCTTTTAAGTAGAAAGTTTAATCTGGTTACATCGAAGTTATTATTGATGTGGGAGGGCTTATTCCTGTCATTTTATTAATTGATTTCCGGTTGTTATGTGGATCCTTTGTTCTTTACTTTCTCTCTTAATGTTTATCATCATGGTTTGGTGGTTTTTTGTAGTGGTAACATTTAAGTTCTTCCTCATGTGTGTGTTTGCTCCACCAGTAGGTTTTTATACTATTGTGTGTTTTCATGATTGAAGGTATTATCCTTTTGCTTCCACATGTAGGACTCCTTTCAGCATTTCTTGTAGGGCTGGTCTAGCGGTGATGAATTCTCAACTTTTACTTGTCATGGAAAGAATTTATTTCTCCTTCATTGATGAAGGCCAGCTTTGCTGGGTATAATATCCTTGGCTGATGATAATTATTTCCTTTTAGCACTTTGTCTATATTTTAGGGGATTAGGGGCTTTTCTCTTGCTGTTTTTAGAATTCTGTCCTTTGCCTTTTGACAGTTTGACTATAATGTGCCATGGAGACGACCTTTTTGATTACATCATTTTGAGAATCTCCAAGCTTCCTGTATCTGGATGTCTAAATCTCTTGCTAGACTGAGGAAGTTTTCAGCTATTATTTTGGTAAATAGGTTTTCTATCCCTTTTGTTTTCTCTTTGTCTTCTGGGACCTTGATGATTTGAATATTTGGTAACTTTGTTGTTTCCTGTAGGCTTTGTTTATTCTTTTTTCTTTATTTTTGTCTGAGTGGATTGTTTCTAAAGACTGTCTTCTGTCCCCACCTGCCCTAGTTTCCCTTTGCATCCCCAGGGAATTTGGGGCCTATCTGCTGAGCTTGGATCTGCCCCTGGCTCCTGGGGTCTAGCCGGCATCAGCCCCCTGCTGGCCCTCAGCCAGAGCTCCCAGGATGTTGGGAGAGACCCCAAGTGGGCAAGTTCGCTGCAGGACCATGGGGCCTGGGCAGGGGACACCAGGCCTCAGAGGAGGGAGACAGATGTAGATTTCAAAATAAGCACCCCAATCTACCTTGCGTAAGTGGTTCCAGCTGCCAGATATGTGAGGTGGCTGCGGGGAGGGCCCAGGGTGCTAGGCCCACCGGTGGATGTTCTTTTCTGGGTCAGAAGTGACCTTTAAGTGTCCAGGATGCTCTTTCCAGGGACAGCCACTTGGTAGGATGAAGACTGCTTCCCCTTTCTTGGGTTTTGTGGGGTTTTTTGAAAAAGTCAGAATCCATAAAAAGAAAATAGAGTGTCCATGCTCCCACCATGCCAAATTAACTTTGACAACTTTGCGGGCAAATTGCAAAATTGCCTCCAGTATTTTTTTTTAATTGAGGTAAAATTTACATGTGGCAAAATGTGCGATCTTAAGCCTTATTGAGTTTTAATAAATGGGGACACTGCTGACACAAGACCCGATTCGAGGTGTGGCACACTTTCCCCGGGGAGCCCCCCAGCTTCTCCTGTCTGCACCCCTCCTCACTGGCAGTGGCGGTTCTGGTTTAATAAACAGAGATTGGCATCACCATTCCTGACCTCTGTATACATGGAATCATGCCATTGGAGACTGATGTCTGACTTCTTTCACAAAACATAATGTTGCAATTCATCTGTGGTATTGTGCATATCAGTAGTTTGTTTGCTTCTTTTAAACTGCACACAGTGTTCTGTCTGAATAAACTAAAACATGCTTTGTTTAAAATAAATAAATAAATACATACATACATAATACTTGTCTTCAGGTTCTGAATTTTTTTCTTCTGCTTGATTTAGTTTATTGTTAAAGCTTTGGAATGTATTTTCTATTTCAGTCAATGAATCTTAAGTTCCAGAATTTATTTGGTTCTTTTTATGGTATCTATCCCTTTGGTAAATTTCTCATTCACATCCTGAATTTCTGATTTCTTTGTGTTGTTTTTCTGAGTTCTCTGGTATCTCACTGAGCTTCTTTAGTATTATTATTCTGAATTTTGGTGGGAGGATTTCATAAATTCCTTTTTCATTGTAATCTATTGCTGGAGAATTATTGTGTTCCTTTGGACATGTGACATTTTCTTGCATTTTCAAGATTCTTATTTCCTTATGTTAATATCTGTGCATCTGGTTTGACAGTTACTTCTTCCCATTTCTTGAATTTGCCTTCATATGGGAGGACTTTTTCCTGAAGATTTATCTATGTTATTGGTTTAGTGTAGAGCACTTTGGCTGTTATTCTGGGTACATGCAGTAGTTATAGTCTTCTCATGATTTCTTTGGCTATAAACAAATAAATATATATGTATATTTGGCCATAAACAGCATCAGTGGTGTGTGATTTTTTTCAGTGGCTTAGGGTGTGGTTGTTAGTGGAGGTTGTGAAGTTTTGCTGGAGACCGAGACGTCAGGTAGGTCTGTCCTTCATCCCCACAGGTTTCGGTGGTATCAGGGCTGAGCATTCCTGTCCTTTGGCTTCCAAGTGGTGTACACTGGAACTGTTGTTTGTGGATTTAGGCAGGCCAATTCTTGGGCCTCCAGGCACTTAGTTGGGTGCCAGCAGAGGCAGTGGTGGGCCAGGTATGTGAGCGGGTCCTCTGGACCCTGGGCAGTGGACATATATGGGTGATAACTATAGTAGTGGTAGGACAATTCTTTGGTTCCCAAGCAGTCTGCGCTGGTGTTGGCAGTGGCCATGACAAACTGGGCGGGTCAGTCCTCAGGCCCATGGGTAGCACGTGCAGGTGGGTGCCCGCTGTGGTGCTAGTGGCAGGTTGAGTGGACCCATCCTCAGGCCCTCAGGAAGCATGCTCAAGTGCCAACAGTGGTGGATGGGGCAGGGCAATCCCCAAGCCACTAGACAGCATGCTCTGGCACTGGAGGAGGGAGCATGTTGGAGCTGGACTGGGCAGGCCTGTCCTCAGGAAGCCCCAGTGATGCATGCCAGCGCTGGCTGTGGTAAGGGGGGGGCAGTGTGATCCCCAGGTCTCGGGCAGAATGCTATGATAGGGATGGCAGCAGGTGCACTGTGCCCCTGCTACTAGGGAGGGTGGGGTTGCTTTTAATGGCAACAGCCTTAAACAGGCAGCTGGGGAGTGTGTGCTTCAGCCCCAGATGGTACTTCTAAGCGGGGGTAGCTGTTCCTCAGAGTACTTTTAAATGTGGCGGCTCTGCTACTGGGGGCAGTGGGGTTGCTGCCAATGGCTTGTGCTTCTGCTCTAGTGGCGGCAGCAGCAGCCAGCTGCAGGTATGGGACATCAGTGGGGCTCCAGGAATGTGGAGATGCAGGGGCTTTTGGGCTTCAGGGCAGGATGAAGTCTGGTGTGGGTGGGCTCTCAACATGGCACCTTGCTGTAGCTGCTTAAGACTTGGGGGAGGGGGTGTGGGATCCAATGTGAGCTTCCTCACTGGAACAATGCTATTGTACATTCTCTGTGTTAGTCTCAGGGCCCATGTGGGTTGAGGGACTCTCCCATGGCTAGCGTTGCAAGAGTCCGTGGTGGGAATGTGGACTGCTGGGGGTTGCTCACTCCTTCCCCCACCCCACCTCCCGCTTTGAGGATCCTCTCTAGGCTCCTAGCTGATCCCTGGCGAGCAAGCTGCCTCATTTTCCTCTCCTTCCTTACCTTAGGTGTTTCCTGTCACTTCTCTATTGAATTCTAGCATTCTCTCTTAGGTGATCTTTTCAGAGTGTGATTACCTACTTTCCATTTTGATTCTTCTTTGTGGAGGGGGAGGAGTACCAGATGCCTCTTAGCCATCTTGAAGACCCCCTGGAATTCATCTACTTGAATCTTTTAAAATGAGATTGTGTCAAGAAAATGAGAACACAAGCCACAAACTGGGAGAAAATATTTGCAAAAGGCATTTCTGACAAAAGCCTGTTATCCAAAATACACAAAGAACTTTTAAAACTCAGTGATATGATCAAGACCAGCCTGAGCAACAGTGAGACCCTGTCTCTATAAAAAATAGAAAAATTAGCCAGGCATGGTGGTGCATGCCTGTAGACCCACCTATTTGTGAGGCTGAGGCAAGAAAATCACTTGAGCCCAGGAATTTGAAGTTGCAGTGAGCTATGATGAGCCACTGCACTCTAGCCCAGGTGACAGAGTGAGACTCTGTATCAAAAAAAAGAAAAAAAAACCACGCAAGAAAGAAACCTATCAATATGAAAATGTACCACCCAATTAAAAAACAGGCCAAAAAGGCCAGGCACAGTGGTGCACGTCTATGGTCCTAGCTACTGGGGTAGCTGAGGTGGGAGGATAGCTGGAGCCCAAGAGGTTGAGACCAGCCTGGATAACATAGTGAGATCCTGTCTCAAAAAAATAAAGCCCATGTACAGTGGCTCACACCTATAATCCCAGCACTTTAAGAGGCCTAGGCAGGAGGATCACTTGAGCCCTGGAGTTCAAGACTAGCCTAGGTAACATAGCAAGACACTGTCTCTACAAAAAAAAATTAAAAAATTAGCTGAATGTGGTGCCATGTGCCTGTAGTCTCAGTTAGTTGGGAGGCTGAGGCAGGAGGATCACTTGAGCCCAGGAGTTTGAGGTTGCAGTGAGCTATGATGACACTGGAGTGCAGTCTAGGCAACAGAGTGAAACCTTGTCTCAAGAAAAAAAGGAGGTGGTGGTGGTCAATAGACCTAAACAGAAGCATCACCAAAGAAAATATTCAGATGGTGAATAAACGCATGAAAAAATGCTTAGCATGGTTGTCATTAGGGAGTTACAAAATAAAACAACAATGAGATACTACTTATGCCTGTCAGAATGGTGAAAATCCAAAATACTGGCAACACCAAATGTTGGATGAGGATATAAAGCAATAGTACCTCTCATTCCTTGCTGGTGGGAATGTAAAATGTTACATCCATTTTGGAAGACAGTTTGGCATTTCCTGCAAAACTAAACATACTTACCATGTGATCCAGCCATGGCACTCCTTGTCATTTATCCAAATAAGTTGAAAACTGATGTCCCCTTCACATGGATGTTTATAGCAGCTTTATTCATAACTGTCAAAACTTAGAAGTAACGAAGATGTCCTTTAGCAGGGGAATAATAAATTATTTTTTTAAAAAGTGTTCACATTGTGTAATTTAAGAAACAAAAACATTTGGGATATCTTTCCTACCATTTTAGCAATCAAAATAATTGGCATATATGACATCCTTTATGTAGATTTTGGAGGTTTTTAATACCAAAAGTAACAACAATTTTACCATAAAAATTCATGATTTGAACATTAAATTGAGAATGACTCGGTCTAATTTTAGTAACTCACCAGTTCAGAGTCACTGTTCTCATTGTTTTTTGAAGCCTCAGTTCATTAGTTTGTAACTTTAAGATGGTTAGCATTAATGGGATAAACTTGTGCTTTTTGTATTAACAGATAGAAAATGTAAACCAGAAATTCAAAAATCTGACCGAACTTGAGGAATCTGGGTGGCAAAACAAAAATTACACAAGCAAAAAAGTCTTCCGGGTAAGTTTGTGGGTTTTATATCCAAATTTCTAATACAGATTCTTCTACTCAATGATTTTTGTTTTTAAGTTTTAAAAATATTTTGCTTCAGATTTCATATCATTTTATTAAGTAAGTTCCATATATTACAATATCCCAATTGCCTTTGAAGAAAGAGTAAAGAAATAATCAATATGAATTTAAGGTGCTTCTTTCTGGAGAGAAGAAAGTAGAGGCTGTGATTGTAATGGGGTACCCAGAGGTCTTACCAGATAATGGGTACATGAATGTTGGTTTTATTCTTTAAACTGTACTTAGATTTTGCTGTAATAATAGTAGTATATAATTTATATAATGCTTGATATGTACTGAATAGTAAGTAATCCATGTACTTTACATGTATTATTAATAACTCATTTACTCCTTACAACAATCCTATGAGATGTGTGATGTTATCCCCATTTTATGGTTGAGGTATCTGAGGCCCAGAAGGATTAAATCACTTGTCCAAGGTGGAGCCGGGTTTCAGGCCAGACTTTCTCGTTCTAGAATCCATGTTCTTAACCAGTAAGCTCTGCGCTCTCTCTGCTTTATATGTTTTTTGGTATGATAGAATGAGAGAATTTTTTAAATAGAAAAGAAGAGGAATGGCTCTTTAGAATACCTGTCTTTTTCTCTATACAGCACTTTATTATGTAAAATTTACTATTTTTCCCTATAAAATTTGCTTTGTTAACATGATAGACTGCATTCTTATCTATTTCTGATCATTTTTTTTTTCTTAACAGTAATATTTTGAACTCAAAGTTTTTGGGTTAGGTGGACACTTCTCAAAGCAAGCATTGTCAGTTTTTCTTGATGATTTTAGAAAAACGCCTGTGGCTATAAACTCAGGTTGTCTAGATTGGTACTTTTTTATGCTATGTAATCCAAATAAATAATGTCTTGAATCTGATTTTAGGAATATAAGGCATTAAAATATTAGAAAGAACTTTTTTTTTTTTTTTTTTTGAGACAGAGTCTCACTGTGTTGCCCAGGCTAGAGTGCCGTGGCGTCAGCCTAGCTCACAGCAACCTCAAACCCCTGGGCTCAAGCGATCCTACTGCCTCAGCCTCCCGAGTAGCTGGGACTACAGGCATGCGCCACCATGCCCGGCTAGTTTTTTCTATATAGTTTTAGTTGTCCAATTAATTTCTTTCTATTTTTAGTAGAGACGGGGTCTCGCTCTTGCTCAGGCTGGTCTCGAACTCCTGAGCTCAAACAATCCACCCGCCTCGGCCTCCCAGAGAGCTAGGATTACAGGCGTGAGCCACCGCGCCCGGCCTAGAAAGAACCTTATTATAAAATTATTTCACTAATAAAGTCTCATGACAAAGACCCTGAGGCAGTAACTAAGTTGATTGAATGAATTTCAAATCTACTAAATAATGAAGGATGCTACTCAATTATTAAAGTGTACTTTTTTTATTGCGTACTTAGTCTTGAAAATATTAATATCACTGGTACAGATAATTGCTGTACTATAAAGAGACTTGTAATTTTGCCTGTTATCACCAGGTGTCTCTCTCCTGCTACTGTATTTTATAGGCTGCTGTTTTGATTATCAAACAAATAAAATAAAGCTAATCTTTTACCTGTACTTTGAAACCACTCCTTCCTACCTCTTACTCACTAATCTGTCATTCCATCAGTTAATCTGTTTTCTCTCTTCCCCCCTCTTCTTCTATCAGGTTTTAGACATGTTTAAGTGCTTTATCTTTGTTTACATTAAAATAAACCAACTTGTGGTGTTTATATGTCCCTCTGATTATTTGTACCCCTCTGTTCTCATCACAGACAAGCTTTCTGAAAAAGTTGTCTAAACTCTGTCTTTACTATTTTGGCTCCCATTTATCTATCCAACTCATTGCAATTCAGTTTTACCCTTCTCTTATGCCTCTAGAACAGTTATAATCAAGGTTATTAATCCACTAATTGCTGAAATTATTAGATGTTTAATTATAAAATCTAACCCTTCTGCAGTATTAAATATAGTCTACCCCTTCTTCCTTGAAATTATATTCTGCTAATTTTCCTCTTCTCTCTTTGCACATTCTTCAGTCATGTTTGCAAGTATGTTTTTCCATTTATCTCTTTTGATATTTAGAATTCCTACCTTAACTCACTTCTCTTCTTCTATATTCTTCTTGTACAATTTTGCCCACCCTGTGATGATCCCCAAATCTGTATTTCAAACCACACTTACTGCTAAGCTTTAATTCACTCAGTGTACTTTACAAATCAATATATCCCAAAGTGAAATTATCTCTACACACACCAATTTTTCCCTGTCTCAAAGAATGGTATTACCATCCCACCAGGTGTTCAAAATAGAAACTTCAGTGTCTCTTTAGGTCCTTTCTGTTCTCTGTTTCACCATTGCCACCCCTCATACACATCCTGTAAATCAGTTAAGTCCTCTCAATTCTACCTCTTTAATATCTCTAGAACCTGTTCACTTTCTCCCAACTCTTCCTTCTCAATCTACCCTCATCTTTTCCCAGTATTGCTGCAGTAGTCTCCTTCCTGATTGGCCTGTAACCCTTCTAGTCCATTCTCCAGGCTGTTCCCAGGGTGATCTTTCTAAAACACAAATTTGATAATGTTAATCTGTTGCTTAAAACTCACCAATAACTTTCTATTCCTTTGTCCTCTGTATAAGTGTAGCTCATTAAAGCTATTACATACAAGAGATTTTATAATCTAGCTGTTGCTTATCTCCTGCCAACTCCTCTGTGCTTTCTTTCATTTCTGGCTTTGCAAACATGCTATTCTCTCTGGCTAGCCCTTTCCTCACCCCATCTTAGTCTCACTGTGATTTCAGCTTATGTGCTACTTCCTATAACCCTTTCCTGATGTCTCTGAAGGTTGGTTTAAGTGTAATCCTTGTGATGTCTTATAGCTTTTTGAACATATCTCTAACATGACATTTATCCTTCTTACACTCCTTGTCTGGTTCTTCCACTGAGCTGCAAACTTCTTGAGGGCAGGATCTTTGTCCTTTTCCTTCTTAAGCTTAGAATTTTTAGCGTATACTGGGAACTTGATAAATACATGACAAATATGTGAACTGTCTTATGTATATTTTATGTATTTTTCTTTTTAAAAATAAATTTTTAATTCACAAAAATTGTGTATATTGTGTTTTTCTATAAGATGGTAATGAGCAGGTTTTATAATTGTAAATTTCTCTTTACAGAAAAAAATTGTCTCAGGTATAGCAAGTAAACCAAAACAGGATGATAGTGGAAGAATTGCAGCTAGAAATCGCCTAGCTGCCATAAAAAATGCAATGAGAGAGAAAATTAAACAGGAAGAACATGCTGAGGCAGCAGGCTCTGCAATACCAAAGGAAATTGATAAAATAGTATTTGATGCTGGATTTTTCAGAGTTGAAAGTCCCATTAAATCATTCTCAGGTTAGTTTTTTTGTTAGTTTTGACTACTTAAGATAAAGATGTGGGGTGGATGAGAGTTTTATATAAGAGGTGAAAAGTAATTTTCCCATGAACAGATAGAAGTTCTCTGTGATTTCTAGAAAATAGACTATGTGCTCACTCACATATCCAAATCACATTTTGATGGGTATGATTAGATTAAAGTATGATATGTCTTCTAAGATTGCTTTTATGTTTTCTAATTGATTTCACATTTGTTATTACCACATAACCCTACAATCTATAAGGAAGGTCACAGACTTCCAAGAGGTCAGAAGAATGATGAGCATGAGAAGTAGAGTGATTTTTATTTATTTATTTATTTATTTTTTCTGGTCAGTTAGAAGGTGGGTTAGAATTTAAGATGCAAAGGAAACTCGAGCATCAAACCATCATGTAACTTTTCTAGCTATACTTTAAA